TTGCCACTGGGTTCTCAGAAATAAACCGTTGATTTTTGCCAGAAGCTTTGTAATTTTTAACAGTCAGGTCTGTGTACTACTTAATTTGTCCTGAACTTTGTGTATATGTATGTGTTTGTGCATATGTACATACACCGTTCATATGAACATGAACAGTTATGAATATTCTCACGTTATCACATTAACACACTCGTATTTTTGGAATGGCTAAAATAATTGACTGTTGCTTGAGTTTAGGGTGGTATGTCATTATGGTTCACTTCAATAATTTGTTTGAGACTGCCCCATTAATTCTCATGTTAGTGACAAAGAATTTGCATGTAACCGAGAGAAGTATGTTCAGGACCAAAAGTTTCCCACCTGAGAGGGCACAGACCTCAGTAATTCCATGCATGAAGTCATTCATATCCATGTTGACTCTTTTCTGTCTTCATAAATGCTGCCAGACCTGCTGAGTTTCTCCAGAACTTGTTGATGTTGGATTCCCAGCATCTGCAATACTTTGCTTTCATTCAATATCCAGTTGTACAAAGGAGCCATGGGAATGTGAAAAATAGAACTGGTTTATTAGGCTAAAACAGTATTCGAGACAGTGTTAGAGTGAAAATACTGATCCTGTAATATTCTATTTCTATTTTCTATTTCCTTTATTTTAAAGACCAATCTGGCAACAGAATATTGACTTTTGAAAATGGATTGGACTTTGGGGATGGCAATAGCATTGTGTGTTCTGTTGATCCGGGACTGTGATGAGAATGACATTCTTGATATTTTTGTAGAAAACAAAGCTAGATTGTCAAAAGGAACATGTTTAGCATTGCTGAACTCCAGTAGCAATTGGCTGGAAGCAGGCTGCAGTGTTGTTGGCAACCTTGCAGATTGTTTTCAGGCAAACACAGCCTTCACTGCAACTTGTATGTAAATGATACAGGCAATATGTCAATTTTAACCAACCCTCATTTTGTAGCTTTTTTTTTACTGTGTGGAAGTACATGAAGAAAAAGAGCAGGAGATTTAGAATAATAATCTTTTAAAGGAACGGTGGGTTTTGTCTGCATGTCTCTTGACAGGCATCATGATTCTTTAAAGATGATGGAAAACAACTGGTCTGATCAGCATCTTGTGACTCAGCTAAGTGTCTAAGTATCAGTGGTGCCTTGTATCATGAATACATTGAACCTTATTGCTAAATACTAAAATCCAGAAATGCTGTTTGTTTGCTACATCTTCAGATTGACTGTTACTTACCTGTATGAGTTTGTTTAAAGTGATATTGTCATCTGATTTGTGCTTTGTGAGAAATAAGTTTGGTTTGGTTACTGGTTGTTAAAAATATTCATCAAATGTTATATCTGGTACAGAACGTGAAAGGACACCTTTCAGATTGCAAATATATAATGTTGCAGTGCTGTTTGAAAAGTCTGAAATCTAACCACTACCTTTCAACTAAATGGGGAGTTTCCAGTGCTATTGGGCTAGTGGTTTATGTTCCTGATTTCTGGTTTTGCTTCCTGTTTCAGCACATTGTTAAGATTGCAGTCTTGCATAACACAATCTGAACTTTTGTTTTGTCTGACATGGTTACTGTCACTCAGATTGAGATCAGCAAACTCAAGTCATTAGGCTAGTGTAGAATTATGACAAATTATGTATTCCAGGGAAATGTGAAGTGATGTTTTTGAAAGGAAAATATGAAAAACTGTGTAAACTAGATTGTATAGTTTTAAAGGACGCGCAAGCATAGTGAGACCTCATGTTTACATAGACCGATATTTGAAGGTGTCAGGATAAGTTGATATTCCTTACTGTAAAATAAAAACACTGGGCATACATGCCTTTATAACTAAACATGGTAGAGTACAGAAACAAAGAAGTACAGCTCAATGTCTTAACCACTGAATGACCTCAGCTGGAATACTTCTCGTTTTCTGCACTATGTTTTAAGAAGGATGTTAAAACCTTGCAGAGGAAGTAGGATGTGATTTATGTGAATAGTATCATGGATGGGGACCTTCAGTTTTTTGGAGAGATGAGAGAACTTGTTCTCAAAGCAAAATAAGTAAAGAGGAGTTTGTAAGATAAATGTTCATAATTGAAGGATTTTGAATAAATGGGGAGAAATAATCAAGTGACAAAGGTGTTAGTAACCAAAGGAAGCAAATTTAAAGTGGTTGAGGAAGAATTTTTTTCAGTGAATCTTGAGCCAGAATGCACTTCCTGATAGGAAGGTGGAAATAGTTTCAATATTAACCTTCAGACGGGAACTAGAAATTAACTATAAAGTAAAATAAAACATAATTGCAAGTTTATTGGGGTGAAAGCAGGTGAATGGAACTAATTATATGACACTTGCAAAAACTGCGTACCAGCAATTAAAGCTTAAAAGCTTCCAATTGTATGAGTCTGATTCAAAACTGAGACCACCTTGATTTGTTTGGCACAGTGACTTGCTAACCATAGTGGGTACACATTTTGAATTCTTTGTGTTGCACAACTCCAGCTTTGTGTACATGCTGCGTTTTTATACTCTGTTACCTCCCACTTTCATCTTATGAACATACAATTAATATCAGCATCCATTTCAAACGTCTATGCACCTCAACTGTTCCTGTTGTATCTGAATTTCAAACTAAATGTTTATTTAGAGCAATAACTGTGTTGCCTATTTGCCAAGTCTATCTGAACTATATAAAGGTACAATTGTAATACAATTTTATCAAAACACAGTTCAGTCACTCATGCAGATGCTGCATTGATGGCTAGTATTACAGTCCAACTTGTCGATGAGTATGAAAGCATGTAATCCAAACTCTCTTAGTGGTATAATATTACGTGTCAAAGATTTTATTTCAGTAAGAACTGAAATGTTATACAAAGCAAACTAACTTTTATCTCTTGCATAGTCAGTGTGGAACAGTGTTAGCCTTTCACCAATTTTTAAATCTTCTTTCATTTTTCTAAGTCCTTGTAGATAGAATGCCGCACTCGATGCCTGAAATTAGCTTTCTTCTTTTGATTAACTGTACATTTCCAAAGAAAAACGATCCCTGCTATGCTTTTCAAAATAACATTCAGTTGTGAACTATTGTTTGCCCTGTTTGTCATTGAAATTCTTCTTCTGCCAAAGTGACTTTCAAGGAAGAAAATGTATTTCGTCATTCAGTGTGAAGCACTGCAAGTTACTATGTGCTGACTATTGATTCCTTTATCACAAAATTAAATAAGTCATGTTATTTAAGTTGGTCCTCACCATTTTTTTACTGAAGGAACCAGTGCTGTGATCACTGAACTCAACCCAGACCATTGGTTGAATATAAGAAGATCCAATAGTTAAGACTCTCGGATGCAGCACGCTGGATATTGAGCCCCACCATTCCTGAATGGTCACGGAAGTTAAAGATTTTATAAAGTATGCAAAGTTTCCCAATTTACCTGATTGTCAGGCGTGGATTAATAGAAAGGATGGACCAGGTTTCTGTACTGAACAAAAGTTACCATTTATTACAAGCATTTAGACTCTGGCTACATGTAAACAGTTACAGGCCATTGGCATATAATATTGCTAGTTAAAATTATTCTAATTCCCCTAAACACACAGTCAAATAAGATAAGTAGGTTATTAGTAGAAGGGGAAAAACTGGAAAGTCAGTTTAGTTATTTTTGTTCCCATGTATTGTTGCTGAGATGAACTCGTTGATTCTTTTGGTGGCCAGCACATTGCTTTAATCATCATTCTCCAGTTTCTTCCACTGGTTAGCAAGAGGCACAGGTGGCAGCTATACTCATACCCTAGTGGTTTAAAAACTCACTCTGTCTCCCTTTTCTCCCTATATCTCTATCTCCATCCCTCTCAAACCCCTTTTTCCCCTCTTTCTCTCCCTCCCTCTCCACATCTTTCTCACCCTATCCTTCTGTCTGCTCTCCCCTCTCCCTCCACCCCCAACGTTCCCTCCTCCCCACCACCCCACCCCCTGCGTTCTCTTGGAATAACAAAGAGCTGTTTTAAAACCCTGTGTTGCGAAGAGGGGCAACAGTTCTGAAAAGCAAGTAACCTGACACCCAAACCAAACTTCCCATCAATGACTATTTGTAAAAATCAGCAATTGAAGTTGAAGTTGGAGTTGCAGATAATTTGGAGCAGAAGGCACGTATAGATGCAGTTACTGCTGGAACCAAGAATTTTAATTGGTCTGTGGTCTAGTGACCAGTTAGCAATGACTGAGATTCTTTTCCTGCTACAACTCCGAGATTAGCTCTCGGGCAACTGAAACGTTTGCGGCTACACAGATTAGGGGAGAGAGACAGAGGGACGGGGTAGGATACGCAGGGGCAGACGAGAGAGAACATGGGGATTGGAGAGAGAACCAGGACGGGGGGAGAGAATGTGAGGGGCAGAGAACGTGGACACCATTTGTACAAACACAAAATAAAAAGACGTCGTTCTTGCAGTATCTTGCACTATCTTGAATACATCCTCTGCTCCTCTAACCTCGCTGGTCTGTTGGTGGTTCCTGTATACCTAGTGTTGACAATTCTTTGGTGTTTTGCTTTGACTGTATTCAGTTCTCAATGCAGATTCGTTTATTGTGCCTGCACATCTTCACTGCACACGCAAACATGATTAGATGCCTGGTAACTATTGTATATCCTAAGATTGAATGGGATTCACAATACAAGTGAAAATCTCAACAAGGCCTTACCTGATGTGCAATTTCACGTTAATAATGGAAGTTTGAAACTAATAGAGGAGGTTTGCTTCTAACCCTATCTGCCATCATTCAGTCTGTGAGCTGGACATCAAGCGAGGATGCTTACTGAAATTAGACATGTGCATTTTGTTGCAGGGTACGGGCACTAGTCACCGGGAAAACCGTGTGCCCAATGCTGACGTCCTGTTTACACAGAAGCAGGTAGAGGGACTGACTTGTTTGTTAATGTGCCTTCTGCTATTGCTTTCTTACTGTGCATTCAATTGACAAAGTGTTCTGTTTTTGGTTTCAGATCATGATCCAACAGTTTGTCATCCTGTGTCTGGTCACTGGCCTGGCTTCAGCTGTCTGTCCAGATGGGTCTACCTGCCCATATGGAACAACCTGTTGTAAGAAGCTGTATGGCGGATATACCTGTTGCCCTGTCTCAAAGGTAGGTTGTACCCATTTACACCTTACTGGGCAGTGATCCTTTATATTATTATTTTTTCTTTGAATTGGTCTAAAATGCTCATGTTGTGATTTCTTTCTTTGATTAGAACATTTTGTGTCAGTATGAGAATAAAGGAAACAACTTGGGCACATGCTGAGAATCAGTGTATGTTACCTTCAAAACCAACTCTGCCTTCTGCTTCGCAAACCATTAATTATTAATTCACATTGCAACTTGCCTGCAGTTCATTTTGTTTTTGTTTTTGCTAATTTTGTGTAGAATGTTTCACATACTATTTCAAAATGTAGACATCCATACACATTCTGCTTTCTACCAGGTCTTTAAGATGAACCTAATTCAGCTGGACAAGATCTACCCTTCACAAACCAATGTTCCAGTCAGCTTTTATTTGTCTAAGTGCTCAGCCATTTGCTCCTTTATAGGTTCCAGTGACTTACCACAGATGTTATTAAATTGGTGTGCCTGTAATTGCTTGGGTTCTGCAACTTAAAAATTATAGTGACAGTACAGTTTTCCAGTCCAAAGGGTAATTCCAGAATCTAGGAAGTTTTGGAACGTAACAAAGTATTTTTGAGAGAAAAAGATTGTTGTTCAGTGCAAGCAGAACAGTTGATTCATAAACATGAAGCACAGAAACACACCCTTCTGTCCAACTCGTCCATGCCGGCCGAGTTTCCTACACTAAACTAGTCCCTCTTGCCTGTGTTTGGCCCGTATCCCTCTAAACCTTTCCAATTTGTGTACCTATCCAACTGTATTTTAAATGTTACAACTGTACCTGCATCCACTACTTTCTTTGGCAGTTCATTCCACATACAAACCACCCTCTGTGTGAAAAAGTTGCTCCTCAGTTCCCTTTTAAGTCTTTCTCCTCTCGCCTTAAAAATATGCCCCTAGTTTTGAATTCCCTACGTTCGGGAAAAGACTTTTGCTATTCACTTTATCTATTCCTGTCATGATTTTATAAACCTATAAGGTCACTCACCCTCAACCTCCTATGCTCCAGTGGAAGAAGTCCCAGCCTATCCAGACTCTCCTTATAACTCAAACCCATCAGTTGTAGCAACATCCTGTTAAATCTTTTCTGAACCATCTCCAATTTAATAATATCCTTCTTATAGCAGGGTGACCAGAACTGTACACAGCACTCCAAAAGTAGCCTCACCAATGTCCTGTACAATCCCAAATTGATGTCCCAATTCCTATACTCAATGGCCAGCAATAAAGCCAAGCATGCTAAAAACCGTCTTAACCACTCTGTCTACCTGTGAAACAACTTAAAAGAACTATGTACCTGAACACCTAGGTCTGTCTGTTCAACAACACTACCCAGGGCCCTACCATTAACTGTATAAGTCCTGCCCTTGTTTGTTTTACCAAGATGCAATACCTTGCATTTAACCAAATTAATTGCCATCTGCCACTCCTCAGCCCATTGGCCTAATTGATCAAGATCCCTTTGTAATCTTAGATAACCTTCTTCACTGTCCACTATGCCACTCCTGTGAAGTAATGCTCATTTTTAACATTTAGTAACCACATGTCCTTCAATTGTTAGGAATTTGCCTCTTCCCTTACTCTTTAATCTCCCTGAAGGTGTTGGTACTTTTGAATCTTGTTTGTATTTTGCCATTTTTTTCTAATAAAATTTCTGCATTGGCTGCCTGTTGAGATTCCCTTATCTTGAATGATCTGATTCTCCCAGTTAATTTTTTTTGAGTTGATGCAGCTTCGTGTCTTCACATTCCACATTTCCTTTCTTCGGCCCCATTCAACTGACAAATGATCACTATCAAGAATAGATGAATAATCTATTAAGTCACTAAAGGGAATGGAGCAGTCAACTCCCATGTAAAATACGTTTTTCTAATCTTTATCTCCAGACCACTTTTTATTCGGTTATTAGTAACCGATGGCAAATCTCTGAGTTTAGGAAATTTGGCGGAAGTTGCTCTTCATCCTGCAAATTGAAGAAAGGCCTTTTCGTTTTTAAACCTATCATCCTGTAGATTTTGAGGAATAGTGAGGTTTGTCTTAAATGAAGCACCCCTGTTCTGCCAGAAGGATGGCATAAATAATTGGATAATTACTATATACTTGCTGGTTCCTAATAAAAGTGAGTGTCTTCTTTTCATTGAAACAGCTCAATTTGACTGTGAGGAGGATGACTTTTTGACAGCTTCTTTGAGTTCAGGAAAGGATAGACCCATGTGGGTTTAATATAATTTGCCTACCCTGCAGCTGATTTAGTGACAAACTTGTGTACCATAACAGATGGCAACTTTTATTGATCCAAGGAAACTTGGGTTTGATCATCAACTTTAAGAATCAAGAATGTTTTAACAACATACATAATAATACATAAAGTCTCTGCAGTCTCGAGAGGCACTGTTTCTGGAAACCCACCTCATACCCTTCCTCTACTAACTGAGTAGAATTTAATTTGTAAAGCTTTAGTAAGAATTGGGGAGGTGATAGCCTCATGATGTTATCGCTGAACTGTTAATCCAGAGACCCCTAAGATTCTGGGGACCTGGTTCAAATCCCCCCATTGACAGATGGTGGAATTTGAATTCAATAAAATCCTGGGAGTAAATGTCTAATGATGACCGTGTATCTACTGTTGATTGTCAGAAAAACCCATCTGGTTCATTAATGTCCTTTATGGAGAGAAACTGCCAACCTTCCTTGGTGTGGCCTACATGTGACTCCAGACATTCATCAATGTGTTTGACTCTTAAAGGCCCTCTGGGCAAATAGGGATCGGCAATAAAACAAAAATTGGTGAAACTTAAAATATACGTTTGGATCTGACTCTTGAAACAAAAATGTTGCCTTTGAATGAAGAACTTTTTGGGCAACGTTAACAACAAAAGAGGCTGCTACAGCTACCGATGCTTTCCTCCTGCTGTTAATGATTCACTGCTGAAGAAGGTACCAGTGAAATAATCATAACATAATTGGGCATTAAAAGGGAATGAACCTCAAAGTACCACCTAGCAATTACCTAGGCACTGCAAACAACAATTTCAAACACAGCCTTTTCGACCCTGCAAAGTCCCCTTACCAATATCTGACAACTAGTGCCAACATTGGGAGAGCTGTCTCGCAGAATGGTCAACCACAGCTTGATATAGTCATATACATGGAATCTCACCTTTCCGACAACATCCCAGAAATGACTTGTCCCCCTGGCAGAGTCATATTATTGACCCTCCCTTTCCCAATTTATTTTTAATCAACAGTGTAGTGATGGAAGGTGTCATTAAATAGCACTTGCTTGGCAATAATCTGTTCACCAATGCTCAGTTTGTATTCTGCCAGGACCACTCAGCACCTCACCTAATTACAACCTTGTTGTAGCTATTGACAAACAAGCTGAACTCCAGAGGTGAGGTAGGAGTGAATGCTCTTGACATCAAGGCCACATCTAACTGAGTTTGTATCAAGGGGTAAAGCTCTTCATTGGTTGGAGTCCTACTTAGTACAAAGGAGCAGCCAGGGATGGACAATAAATGCTGGCACAGCCAGTGATGCCCACGTCCCCTGAAAGAATGAAAAGGTCAATAGGGTGAAAAACTCCGTAGGCAACTCCCTTCACATGATGTTGTTTCAGGGTGGTCAGAGAGCTCATTTTGAGAAAATATGGTGTGTTTGTTCCACTTGTGCATGGGTGTGGATATAGTTGGGAAAGACAACATTTGTTGTCATGCTTAATTGCTCTTGAGAAAGGTGATGGTGAGGCCCTGCCTTAAAAAAACTGTGGTCCTTGTGGTGCAGGGAGACTCGGTATTATTAAGGAGAATATTCCAGATATTTAACCCTGTGTCAAACAACCGTAGTTTTCTCCAGCACTTTACCTGAGGGTTAGGAGTGTTCATGAATTTGACTCCAACTTGTGCTAAGAACAGTAACTTTCATCCTGAAAATGCTTGAAATGTTACCTTACGGTACAATAAAATGCCGAGCAGGTTGAGTGTGTTGAAAATCCATATTTTAGATAAGTATTTGAGAATGCTCGAGAAAATGGAAATTTAATGTACAACGAGCAAATAATTCTTCTAATGTTATCTGTTTGGCTTCATATTGGTATGTTGGCTGTGATTTGGGCAGTTCCTGAGATCCTGTAACTCATTCACAATAACAAGGGGCTATCCAGAAAAAAAGCCATAACTCTTCAGAGCTGGTGCTGTGATGAAAAGGTAGAGTGTTATTACATGTCAAACACGAGTGACTGTCTGTCTTGTCTGCTTAAAAAAGTCAGACAGCAAACCCAAGTTAAGACTGAAGGTCAAACTTATCCACCCTACATATGGGAGATAAATGGATGAAAGTTTTTATAAATAAGGAAAAAGAATTAATGAAGTATTAAGCTGAGTTATTCACTCTATGGGTATATGGACTGAACAAGATGGGTATTAAAAGTGAAAATCATGCTGTGAAATCTTTCTATGAAGTGATTTGTTTAAAGCGCTCCTTCTATCCAATAGATTTCACTCAACAATTCACTTTAATTACCTTCCTTTACACAATTATTTTAATTAATACTTTTGACATCACAAATATGGAACAAAAATACCTTAATTGACATAATAATTATACTCAACAATTATGACTGAATATTTTCTGATAATGAATTTGCTTACATTGGCTTTACTTGACCTCATTAGTTTAATTAAATTTGTAATTTTTACTACATGGATTTTGCTAACCTAAATCTTGAGTGTCACTCGAAATCGGGATCAAATCTACATTTCCATCTATTCACTCAAAGCTTGTTATTAGTCTGAAAATTTCATCACCAGTGACAGAGACATCACTCTTTACGTTTTCATTGTCACTGTCTGCATTTTGTGTTGAAGTTTATTGTTTCTTGAACAAAATAAAGAATTTACTGGCAATCCTACTTAATGACATTTTTTCATGTGTTTCAAGATGTTTTTCACTTTATACTGTTCGCTGATAACTACACAATGTTC